ATTGTTATCGCAGTGTTTGGGGAGCTTGAAATTTTCGTACATCCGGAGAGTCGAGCCAACTCTCGTTTCGTACTCAAAAGGGAATTTGGTTCAAAAATTTCTTTGAGAAATGAGTTTTCGATTTTTCACTGCAAATCAGAGTCGAAGACAGTAGGTTTTCCTTCTTCCTTTTTTAGGGCTAAATGGGGTTCATGACAAGGAAAGGGAAAGGGAAATAAAAGGTGACACGGTGTGTGAAATAGGCGGGATTGGTACACATCAGCATCCAGCGTGTGAAAAAATGACATGCTGGCACATGCTAAACGGAGATTGTGACGGTGATGACGTCGCCTGTTAAATAATGATCGATTTGGGAAAATCGATACTTTTGGGGTGTCATTTGTCCCTGCTTTTTTTTGAGGGGTGTATCCGTCCCTACCCATATTTGTCAGGGGGTGATTTGAGGGTTCTGCCTTCATTTTTTAATGTTATTATATGCTTTCGTATTTAAAGGCATTTAAAAATTACTATAAATAAAAATTTACAAGCTGTCGGTACATAATTGCCCAAAAAAATCTATCACAACCCCGCCAATTACGCAGTCAGTCCGAGCCACCTTTTCTCGTCTTCATATCTAGTAAGACCCAATTCATTTCCCACAAAATCATCTCTCAAAGGCACCACCGCCGGCCACCGCCACCGTCGAGAAATGGGTCACCAGGAAGAAGAGGAAGGGGGTGAGGAGTACTTGTTCAAGATAGTGCTCATAGGTGACTCTGCGGTGGGGAAATCGAACCTGCTATCTCGTTTTGCTAGAAACGAGTTTGACAGTCAATCTAAAGCCACTATTGGGGTGGAGTTCCAGACCCAAGCGGTGGAGATTGATGGGAAAGAAGTCAAGGCACAGATCTGGGACACTGCCGGTCAGGAGAGGTTTAGAGCCGTGACTTCTGCTTACTACAGGGGTGCTGTTGGTGCCCTTATTGTTTATGACATTACCAGGCGGACTAGCTTTGACAGTGTTAAGCGGTGGCTGGAGGAGCTCAGCAGTAAGCTTCTCCATTTTCCTTTCCTTTTCCTCTGAATATCAATGTTGGGTTTTCCTTTCTGTTTGCTTACTTGCAAGATCTGAGAAATGGGAATTAGGTGTTAAGAACAATATGTGAGGTTGAGAGGTTTAATGGTGAAGAAGAAGAATGGGAGTGATTTTGTTTTTTTGTATAGATTGCTTATAATTTTTATAATTTTTTTTGGTGGGTGAATTGGGCTACTGGTTTTTGATTGCTCTAATTTGCCTGCATTCTGTTTTGCTAGTTTTTCCTTGATTACCATCTAGCGCGTTTGCAATTTCAGAAATTTAACTTCATTTACCAAGAAAGAGTTGTAGAGAACTTGCCAACACAACAATTTAGGAATTAAGGTTTAACTGGGTGGAGTTGAGTTGGAAATTGAAATTGTTAAGGCACAATTTACAGATAGATTGAATGTATTTTAATCACAATCGAGATTGTTAAACGTCTGATGTGGTGTTTTTCTGGATTAATTAGAACAGAGTTGGTCGTGTTTTGATTCATGTTTTTGTTAATAACATGACTAGGTAGAACTTTGAATGAGATTGTTTGAACGCCCTTTAAGTGGATTCGGCAGAATGACATTCATTCAGAACCTTTTTTTTTATCCCACTTTTAGTGGGCGGCTCCTTCACATGCAAATTTCTTGTTTATGCCTTTTGACCTAATCAATTACTGGACATTATTCTCTTCTGCTATACTTGAGTCTGTCTTAAGAGTTTAATTGTTTCAGATTAAGTGATCTATTAAACTGAGACAAACAGTGAGAGGTTAGAAGAGGGATGGAGAGAGGTTAAGTGTTCACAGATAACCTATCTATTCCTAGATAGCAACTAGCAATGGAAAATTAAGTTTGGTCTTCTTGTCCAATCTTTGCTTTCTGTTTGCTTTTGAGGAATATGAAGTTTTGGCTAGATGTAAGTGTTAAAAGGGTTAACTTTAGACAGTTTGTTCTTCTTGTTCTATCCCTACTTTTTGTCTCCTGAAATACAATGCACAAAGTTTAGTGTCAAATGTTCCATTATCTAGAAACTTCTCTTTCTAGGATTTATGGTTAATCTATTCAATCTTCCCCTTTTCTTCTCTGAAAGAAACTGGCATTTTATTTCCCTTTATCTTTTGCATGTCTTGGCATAATCTCCTGTTTCTGACCCACCTCCAGATCCTATTTTTGAAACTCCCAAATTTATGCTATTGTTTTTAAGGTCAATAACTTTAACTTCTTCAAATAATTGTGCAGTGCATTGCGATACTGCTGTTGCAAGAATGCTGGTAGGAAACAAATGTGACTTGGAGAACATTAGAGATATTAGTGTGGAAGAAGGCAAAAACTTTGCAGAAGAGGAAGGATTATTCTTCATGGAAACATCTGCCCTTGATTCCACCAATGTTCAAACAGCCTTTGAGATTGTCATCCGGGAAATCTACAACAATGTCAGCAGGAAGGTCCTAAACTCAGACGCATACAAAGCCGAGCTTTCAATCAATCGAGTGACCCTGGTTAAGGATGGAGCAAACTCATCGAAAGGAGGTCTGATGGGCTCTTGCTGTTCTTGATGATCTCCGATCTGCTTTTATGCTATACCTTTCAGGTTTCAGGTTTTATTAATAACGCTATGTTATAAAACCGTTAGTTTTATCAGTTTTTATACTCTTTATCTTCTATTTGGTCTTCTTTTGTTCGGCACAACTATTTTGTCATTTTGATTCCTAATGAAATGAAACTGCATACACCATCTTAATTCATGTGAGAACTACTAGTGACACTCTACACTCGAGTAATGATCCTCAGAGTTCGTTTGGCACAAACCTACTATTTTAAGGACTCTATCAATTTTTATTCACTTTAAATTTAATAAATAACATAATTAAGACAACAGTGTATATTAATCTTGATTCTAAAAAGGAATTAGAATTTCAATAGCAAAAGTATCATTCTTGAAAGAATATTTTGAAAAACCAACTGTTGTATTTAAGTTTTTTTATTTATATAGATTATATATATTAATTTTTAGATCAATTGAATATATCTAATTAATTCATAAATTACACAATTTAACATCAACAAACATATGTTTAAAAACACAGTTACATGCTTCCCTAACCATATTCTTAGTCAGGCCATAAACCATTATGTAACTAACAACTTGTTGGTCTGAGTAGAAGGAGTTTGATTTCCTTTAAATAAGATTTCAAGTTTGAATATTGTAAATAAAGAAACAGACGTTAGCAGAGTTTCTCCTCAAATAAGGTTCGATCGATACAACTCAATTCTGGATTAGTCGAGACCAAATGTGATTATCGGATATCGGGAGATTAGTACAAAAAAAAAAAAAAAAACCATCCTGTAAATGTTTAAGGGATGACTGGTCTTCTTCTTGTATTCAATATGCTACATCTGTCTTATTTGGGGAAGTTGAAACAAACTGATTTTTAATGCAAGAAAGGCGGCTGTTGGGAGTTTTGCCTAAGCAATTAAAATTAGAACATTTTTGTAGTTGAAAGGTAGGTCTAAGGGATGTGTATTTTCTTTCTATGGTTGATTTCATAACCCCAGGTTATGCGCCAGGTCAGTGGTTTAATAACTTAGTTGGCATTAGTTGGCATCTCTTGTGCTCCGAGTTAATAAAATGTTTATTTGACTGATCCAAAAAAAAAAAATAAACAATAACAAAAATAAATGTCTAGGCCACTACCTTTAGGTTAGTTCTAATAGTCAACTTTTTTTTTCAGAAAGCAAATGAAAAATATTATTATTGTAGGGAATATAAAGAATACTCCAATCCTTGCATCAAATTTTACTGAGGGATTTAATCCCAAACATCTAATTTCCTACCTCCAATGTTACCTCTCAAACTGACATACAATAATACAGTTTGCATGACCGTGGCATCAATTACTCGTTCATCCATTCAACCTCTCAAACTGACATACAATAATACAGTTTGCATGACCGTGGCACCAATTACCCGTTCATCCATTCAACCTCTCAAACTGACATACAATAATACAGTTTGCATGACCGTGGCATCAATTACCCATTCATCCATTCAACCCCTTTTTAATTCAAACATTTCCTGGGTTGGCAGCAACAATTTGACAGTGAAAATTCTTTCGACTCCATTTTTCTAACCTGGATTAGCTAAAAAAATCTTATCCACACACGCAGATTTGCCTTGAAAGACTACATCATTCCTTGCCAACCATAAGGACCAGACTGTTACAAGCCAAATCAATTCCCAAGCTTGCTTAACTGATTTTGATTCCCCAGTCCAAATATGTTGTTCAAAAGCTGTATGGCTGGCTCAGTTCAGTACAACAATTTACTCCATCAATAATAGCATTTTATCCAAATACAACAGAAAAACTCAAGGTTATAAACAAATGATTAGCATCTTCAGGCGGCTTCCTACGAAAAGTCAAAAACTAATTAAATTGCATGAGCTTAAATTGTTCATTTGCCAGCAAGCCTCTTTTAAACAAATTGACTTTTATGGGAATTCTTTTTTGAATAAGCTGCTAATTGAAAGCACCCATCTCGGAGCGAGCCTTTCTATTCTTGATCTTCATGAGAATTGCTCATGCGATGAAATCTTTCAGGCATCCTTAATCTTTTGGTTCAATTAATGATTACGGATTTAAAGTATAACTAAAATTAGTCACTTTTTTTTTTTAACATTTTTCACAAATTAAGAAATTTGAAATAATTATGTTCCTCCCTTATTATTTTTAAGAAAGAAAAGAGGATGAAGAGAAGATTATTGTCAAACAATTCATATTTTCTCATTTATTACCCATATTGTTGTGTTTTAATTTCAATAGTTATCAGCTCCTCCCGAA